AGTAGATGTAGCTAAATATTCTAGTAGATGTAGCTAAATATTCTAGTCTATGTAGCTAAATATTAAAGTATAAGAAGTTCTTATGCTAGTAGATGTAGCTAAATATACTAGTAGATGTAGCTAAATATACTAGTAGATGTAATCTGCAGATACTTCTTCAGCTTTTAAACTAGAGATGGTATTTTTAAATTCTGTTACAATTACACATGTCAAGAAGTCACAAGTAAAGGTGCACGATGCCATGGCACATGTCTTCAACAAGCTCATTCATCAAAATTATTATTTCATCAAATAACCATAACTTTATTATTTCACCCACAAAAAAAAGTAAATACAAATATGACAGCGTGATGCTGGGCAGGAACATGGAACAATGTTAAACAGCAGGTGTCCACTCTGTCAATGTACAACCAGGATGAAGCTGTTCATTTCAGGTTGTAGTTTCTATTTTATGCTTTTGTCCAGCAGATGGAGACCAGAGCACTGTGTTAAAAAGCTTTGAGTAAAGAACCTTTTTCCAAAACAAGCTTCAGTGCTTCAGAAAGGCTCCACCTGGGCATCACTAAAGGTCAGAGTTTATGATTCGACAGCACAAAGGACAAAAATTTTCTCCATCGGACAGCTCCAGGCCCAAAACCACTGCTGAGCAAAACCAACACAGGAAAACAAAAACATTTTTCAAACTGTAGATGATTTCCAAACATTTGGGGAAATATTCTGTGGACTGACGAGACAAAAACATAATTATTTGGGGTGCGTCCTCCGTTACATCTTGTATACAACTAACATTTCATAAAAACAGCACCATACCGACAGTCAAACATGGCTGTGGTAATTTCTACCAGAATTTCCTTAAGGAATGTGTCCAACCAGCAGTTTGTGATCTTAGCTTAAGTTCTGCTGCAGAACAATGATCCGAAGCACAGCAGCAACATTCCTCCACCACTCATCGACACTTGTCATTAACGCTTGACTGCAATTGTTGAAGCCAAGAGTGGCACAACCGGTTACTAAGGGCCAATAACTTTGTTTTATACATAGGACAGGTTGGACAGCTTTGCTCCTTTAATAAGTTAAATTATCATTTAAAATCTGCATTTTGTAATTCCTCGGGTTATTGTTGTTTGATGGGCGGCACGGTGGGTCAGTTGGTTGAGCTGCCGCCTCTCGGCAAGAAGGTCCATGAATTGAATCCCAGCCAGGGCTCTTTCTGGGTGGAGCTTACATATTCTCTCCGTGCTGCATGGGTTTCCTCCCACAGACCAAAAACATGCACGTTAGACTGATTGGTAACACGTAATTGTTCTTAGGTTAGAGAAAGAGTAAATGGTTGTTTGTCTTGTTTGTCTCTATGTGTCTTTGTGATGGACTGGAGACCTGTCCAGGTGTCTCTGTGATGGACTGAAGACCTGTCCAGGGTGTCCCCCGCCTCTCACACAGTGACTGCTCGATATGGCACCAGTGACCCCCTCTGTAGTTGCTACAACTCTGTACATCACTCTTGTTCTTAAAAATGGCCACCAGCACACTTCTTTTCCATTCCTCAGGCATTTTCTCACCCTCAAATATGCCGTTGAATAATCGAGTCAAAAACCTCGCTACCATCTCTCAAAGACATTTCCAAACCTCCACTGGTTATGTCATCAGGTCCTACTGCCTTCCCCTTCTTCGTTCTTTTTGGAGCTTTCCGAACTTCACCCTCACTAATCTTTCCCATTTCCTGGTCCACAGTTTCTATGACATCTACTCTTTTTTTCCATTTCATTATCTTCCTCAACGTCCTCCTTCCATTTTACCCAGTACACTCTCCTCACTTGTGGAACATTACCATGTAGATTGTTAACAAGCCTAACCTGCTGCACATCCTTTCCAGCCTGATCCTTCAAGTCCTTCTCTCCCTCCAGCCTCTTGTACAACTCATCACACGCCTTCTGCTTTGCTTTTGCTACCTTCCTCTTTCCTTACGTTTCTTCTCCTTATATTCCCCATTGACTCTTTTCAGTCCTCTTACTGTCCCATTTCTTATTGGCTAACTGCTTCTTCTGGACAACTTCCATTACTTCAACATTCCAAAATAAGATTTCTTCATCTTTTCTTTAAAAAATTCCCATTTTGTTTAAAGTTAATATCAAAATTAATCGATTTTAAATACCATCTGCTTGAAAATTTGATTTGTTTTGGAAGGAATAGATCAAATTCCATGCGTAACGTAATACCACAGGTATTATCAACAGAAGCCAGAGACAAAACAGATAAACAGATCAAATATCAAAATAGGAAGTACCACATAATCTTGGGTTTACAAAGCTCTACTCACAGTTTCATAATGCGGCTGCTCCAGTTTCTCTTTGCGACTCCACTCTAGTAGGAACATTTTTGGTGTGACTTGAGGTGGATAATCCCTCCTACAACCACACAAAAAAAGGGAAAATGACACAGCTGCACATAATTTCAATATTAAAACACATATGATGACATTACTGTATTCCAAATATATTAATTTTGAGAAGGATTGGCTGGAACTTTCAAGAGCAGCAGAACAAAATATATTCATGTCTGATAGTTTGGTGCAACTTTTCCACCAGCCTTGAAAACAGCATTACATTTGTAAGGCACATGTGAAATATAGTGAACCACCACAGCAGGCATGGCAGCTAGAGATGAATCGCTTTGCTGATCAGACGTTTGGAGAAAACTTGGGTGATATAAGAGATTAAATTCACTCTGTGGCCCTTTGAAAATATTGCACACATAGTGGATCTCTTAGTTTTACAGTGGCCACTATCTCAGTAACTAAATGCAATAAACTCAACTGTCTGATAAAATTAAGATATGTATGGTTTGAATGCACTGCCTTCTCAACAACTGGAGGCAATGTCACTGCCTTCTCAACAAATGGAGGCCATGTCACTGCCTTCTCAACAACTGGAGGTGATGTCACTGCCTGCTCAACAACTGGAGGCCATGTCACTGTCTTCTGAACAACTGGAGGTGATGTCACTGCCTTCTCAACAACTGGAGGCCATGTCACTGCCTACTCAATAACTGGAGGCCATGTCACTGCCTACTCAACAACTGGAGGCCATGTCACTGCCTTCTCAACAACTGGAGGCCATGTCACTGGCTTCTCAACAACTGGAGTTGATGTCACTGCCTTCTCAACAAATGGAGGCCATGTCACTGCCTTCTCAACAACTGGAGGCCATGTCACTGCCTTCTCAACAACTGGAGGCCATGTCACTGCCTTCTCAACAACTGGAGGCCATGTCACAGCCTTCTCAACAACTGGAGGCCATGTCACAGCCTTCTCAACAACTGGAGGCCATGTCACTGCCTTCTCAACAACTGG